CCCCCCACCCCCGAGCAGCGCCCCCTGGCGGCCGCGCGCGGCATTCCCGGGATTCCCCGACGGCGGGAACACCCGGAGCCCCGGGAACAACGGGGAGCGAAAGGTCGGAGCCGCGTCCCCGCAGGAAGGAAGGGACCCAAACCCTCCGCCCAAGTCGGTTTTATTCGCAAAGGGCCGCGCCCGCGGGGCAGGAATTTCAACGGGATTCACAGGTCACTGGGGAACCGGGATCAAAAGCTCAAGCAACAAAATCACAGTAAAGAATTTTCCCCCTTGGAACACGGAATATTCACAACTCGTGCCAGGGTGCCTGGGCAGCAGTTACCACTGCTGGGTCTGCCTGCTTTGCTCTGCGACAATTAGTCAAGGTTTTAATCAAGGATCACAAACCAGGCAGCGTGGCTGCCACAGACAGTGCTGGCAGTGAATCCCTGTATTCCCAACCCTTATTCCAGCAGCAAAAGCAGCATTTCATTCCAACGGAATCAACCCTGAACTGTTAATTTCCAAAGGCAATTTCTCATCAAAAGCTAATTGTAAAGGCATGGCACACCTGCCTCCCAGCACCTCAGCAGAGCTGCTACACATCCCAAAGCGTGGCCCAAGCTCCCACCTGGAATGTGGAAGGCTCTGTGTGCTGCCATAAGGAGGTGGGGATGCAGGAGCTTGCTATGAGGTGGAAACCAACACATCAATGAAGTGACCCTGGTGAGAAACACATCACGGGCTTCCCAAGTGAACAATGCACCTTGAAAGCTAGGGAATCATCTTGGAATGCCAACAGGGTTTGTTCCAGAGCATTCACGTGCTTAAGGCAAGATAATTTCTCTGCTTCCAGGCACGTGCTACAAGAGCTGAACTCTCCATGTGCAGCCCAGCACTTTGCCACAAAGTGAGGTGCCTGCAAAGAATCTTATCTAAGCTGCAGATCCAGGGCAGCTAAAGCCAATTAGTTAGAGAACTGGATGTTGGAATTAATCCAGCAACTTCTTTGTTAAGTATAATAACTGAGAAATGAGTTTCTCCTCCTAACTGATGGCCCCTGCTTTTAAAGACACGTGCCCATCCCAGCTCCTTACTGCATACCCTGATTTTTTTTTGGAAGGAGAACATGGTTATTGCCAGAAAGGAGAGAGCAGCAGTGAGAGACACAAGCTTCAATCAAACAAACCAACCAGCATGGCACCCTCTTGCTGGAAGGGGTAATGCAACACATGACACATGATTGGCATCCTGCTCCTGAAGACCAAGGCAGGAGGGAGCAGTGCAGTCCTCTCCTCCAGCTAGGCAGCAGCTTTCTTCTTCTTCTGAGCAGCAAACCACTTGTCACTGCTGTCTGCTGCCATGGCCTGTGCAGGAAACACCAACCTGGTTACAACAGCCTGTGCTTTGAACAGTCCCCAGCCCATCCCACAGATCCCACCCATCACAGGGATACTTGCTTATTTGCAAGGAAAACTATTCTGATGGGTACCTTGTATTTTAAGTGCTAGTAAGAAAAACAGAAAATGAAAACAAATATTCTCTGCTGCAGCAAATAAACAGATGGTTTGGTAATACAGGAGCAAGCCAGGGTGGTTTAAACACAGCCCTCCCACACTCCACACCAGAACCCCTCTGGCCTCCTGCTGCACTGACCTTACTCAGCTCACAAATCCCATTCTGCAGCAACTTACACTGAAGTGCTGTTGATGTGCCCAGCAAGACACAACACCACCCAGCTACCCCGAGAGTGAGGCTGGAAAACTCAACCCAAGACACTAAGGGAACATTAAAAACTGATTTGTTTTCCTTTGCAAGAAAGCTCAGCAAGACCTAAGAGACTGTAGGACTTGCTCCTCCATATGGAATGAAAACGAGATTCTCCAGTTGTCTCTAATCAGGAAGGATATGAAGGTGCAGGCAGCATTACTTACATCATCTAACAATTTGTCACCATTGGGGTCCACCTTGGACAGATCTCGGAATGCTTCATCTCCCACAAAGCAGATCTCATGGCCATCCTAAAGACAATGTAAGAGCAGGTGATTTAGATACCTGGGAGAGAGACGCTTCCATTGAATTTAATCACTATGTCCACTATTACTCACAGGATCAGCCAAAATAACCACTTGCACTGTGGCTTTGCCAGGCGTGTCCAAGCTAACCAGAGGTGTTAAAATTTTCTGATTCTCCTTTTTCATCAGTGCTTCGATGTTTGGCAACTTAAAGAGAAAATTAACAAACTAAATCAGCCCTAGTTCGATGGAGATCAGACGCCTTCCAGGCTGTTCTCATCTACCCCCATTACCCACACCTCCACTGCATCCCCACTGGGAGGAATATAATCAAAGTATCTGTTCAGTATTATTTTCTTCACGTTGGAGTACAAATTAAGTCTCCGAACACCCCTGGGTAGTGGAAGGGTGATCATCACCTCATCCTTGGCACAGGAGAAGGCAATGCGCCCGAACGCCGTCCCGTGATCCACTGCTCCTCCAACAGCCTTCAACTCCAGCTTACACTGCAGGAGGGAAAAACAGGACACTCTTCTCAGTGCTACAACTTCCCCTGATGGTTTCAAAGTCACCTACCCACCCGTTTTCCAACAAGCCAGACTTACCTGAGCAAACCACAGCTTTTAAAAAACCAACACAGTTAGGTGTGTACGAGCTTTGAATGAGCTGCACAGTTGCTGTCATTAAGAGGGGGTTTTTTTTCCCTTTACGATTTTGTTCTCACAAAATGAGAGGTTTCTATGAGACAATGGACTAGGAAGGTTTTTAAGGACTAACCTGGTTATCTGCATAGCCCAGCAAAGCCCTTTGTTTCTCCTCATCCTTCTCATATACTTTCATCCCGAGCAAATCAGACCAGTAGTTAACAGACTTCTGCAGGTCGGAGACACCCAGGGTTACCTTCAGCACAGGATCTACAAAATGACAGTCATTTGAAATCAGTTACAACTAGGTTGCAGTTTTAAAGGCACAGTTACAGTCTTGAGAAGTAACAAACAATCAGCAAAAACACTCTTTTTCACAAAATGCCAGAGAGGAACTTGCAGCCCATTCCAATATCCCAGGTGTAAACCTCCCCTGACCAGCAGTAGCAGCGTGTGTTCCACCTTGCTTGAGCTGCTCCTTGTCTTCCAAGTAGAACTTGTATCCCCCAGGGGCTTCAGCTTCAAAAATACCAGCTGTGACTTCTTTGAGGGGCCACCCCATCTTCTTAGCATTGCTCACAGCCTGGCTGGACACGAGTGTGATGCCCTAGTGAGAACAGAACACACACAAAGTTCACAGGGTGGATGGGGCCCAATAATTGCCTTTCAATAACCTGCCTCTACAAATGACTACAGAAAACATGGGATTACTTTTTATGACACATGTATCACTTGATCTCCTAAGAACCAGGAATCTTGCTCCTATAAACTAAGCTTAGTCTTCCTGTGCACCCCCCCTATATTTGGAATGCATGAATCTACCCTTCCTTCACACCAAAGGGAAATGAAAAGCCAAAGAAAATAAAAACTCTGATTCAACATTTTGTAGAGAAGCAGAAAACTGTGTTCCCAGCTGTTCCACCAGGTTAGATTGGCACCTGTGGCTCCAAGTGCCTGTTCCCCAGCTCCACACAAACCAGGAAGAACATTAGATCAGAGGAAACCATGAGAAAACAGTTCCATGTATTCCTAGATGAAACACAAGCTCTTCATTGGCTGCCAGCTAGTAAATAACACAGAGAGAATAATAAAGAAAAGAGCATTTTCTGACAGCAAGGTCATCTTAGCAAACCCTTCCACATTGGATCTGCCAGCAAATACCAGCTGTCCTACACACAGAGCAGCTCAGAGCTGGAATCTGCCCAAGGAAGTGTTTCCTGGACTCAAAGTGAAGATAAAGCTGCTCTACTTTCTATTCCTCCAACATACAGACAACGACAAAAGGAAGAACAAGAAGCCTTAAGGGCTTCTTGCCTTAAGGGCAGCACAAAAAAAAGCAACTGTTACAACTCGATGCTGAACATAAGAATAAAAAAAGCTGATCTTATGAAGAAAGGTCCTGCTGCCCCGTGTGGTACCCACCAGGAAGTCATTGCCCAGGCGATATTCTCCAATACCATAATTGTAGGTCAATTCTGCAACAAAGTGACTGTCTTCTGGCCCGTACCCCACCATAGTTTTGCTCCACCTTCCATCGTAAGGGCTGGAACACACACATTTAGCTGCCATGAGGAACAGAAATAAACACCGGGATCTACACACATCAGCATGTCAAGGAAGAATGGCATTTCTGGAGTTAACAACTGGCTGCACCTCCCACCAGAAGGAGCTGGTCCCTGCAGCTCAGCACAGGGCACAGAGACTCCCTGGCCAGCAGAGCTGCCCTCAGCCCTTTACCCTTGTCCTGGTTTGAGCCAGGATGAAGCCAATTTTTCTTTTTACTGATTTTTTTTTCCTTCAGTAAGCTTTCTTGTAACGAGCAACAGTGTGTTCTGCTGGGCTGATAAGACAGTGGAATGTTTTTCTAACTACTGAGGCTTCAAGGCTGCACCTTCACTCTGCCGGCTCAGACACTATGGGGAGATCTGTGACCCCCCCGTAGGAGGCTGAGTTAGATGGACAGCAAAATTGGCCAAAGATATTCCATTCCATATATCTATGTAAGCTCAGAGGAAGGTCAGAGATCACAGAAGACAACTTCCTTCCTTCTTCTTCTCCCCTTCTCTTC